GAATGTCTCCCTGGTTTAGGCAGACCAGCATGGGGAGGAGTGTACACATGGCTCAGCACAACAGAGATTATAAAAACTAAAGAACGAACAGAAGATTTTTGAAGATAGCAACGGGCTTTAGCTGGTTTCAACCCACATATTCCTTTTCAGTGACTGGGGACACCCCGCATCCTGCTGGTGAGTATATTGTAGACACCAGTAATGGAGATCATGTCGATATTGTGATTGAACTGTATATTGCAATTGTTACATTTTGCTAAGCGTAACTTACATTTGTATTGTGATTTCAGTACATTTTGTACCACTCTGCTAAGTCAGAAAAAGTATCTAGCATCAACTATCTTCAAATAAGTAAATATGATATTAAATATTACACCCTCCACACGTGGGATATCTAAAAGAAGCTGGTCAGAGACTACTGGACTCTGATATAGTCAGAGCAATCTCAATGCAATCATTCATCTCGCTGCTATTTAGCTTGACCAAATGAATAACCAATATTGTTGTGCTCTGTCATAAAAATGGCTTGAAAGGTATGAAAATGCAGTTAAGCGTACCTGTGTATTAAACACAGCATTTAACCATTTCCAGACAAGTTATTAAAAACAACGTAAAAGACTAAGGGAGATGACAGTCTTAAAGATGCTTAGAAATATTAGACTTGAATTATCATCTTTAAAAAAAAGAACATGTCTACATTTATTGCTACTCACCAGACAGGTGAGTGTCATAACATGCTACAAAGTTGAGATTGTCCTCCTCTCAGGAAAGAAACAGTTATCAAATTTCAGTGGTATCTCCGGTAGCAAGTCCAATGCAAATCCCAGGAAGGGTGGCCAACAGTAGTTTCAGAGAAGCAGAGAAAGAGCTGGTACAAGAAAAGATTAAGGTATCTTAGCTGTAGGACCTAAAAAATTATGCCAGTTTCAACAGCAGAGACCTATTCATCATCTTGATTGTAAATTTTCAGCAGCCAGGATACTGCCACTATCAGGCACTACGTGAGACGTCATGCTTTTAAAGCAGCTTTCCTGAAAATTGACTTCAGAGACATTCTAGCATAACAGGAATGTGAACCCATTCCTTTGCCACCCCGGTTTGCAAAAACAAGTGGAGCTAGTCTGGTTCAAAGGGGCAGGAGGGCTCACTGGCCTGACCCTGGGGTAAACAACAGGTTTGCAATGGCTGCTAACCTCCTGCCACATGGGTCTCCCAAACTTTGACACCGCTCCAGTGAGCAGATCAGGGGGCTGCGTTCTGCCAGCAGGCCCCCTGCCCACAGCGGGGCGGAGCTCGCCACAGCAAGCAAGGGAGACAGATGGCAGGTCCCGCCCCCGGGCCCTCTCCCATCACAAAAGGGAAACGGCCCTAAGAAGTACACCTTGACCTCAAAAACACTGAATCCGAGCATTCCTCTTCCGTTTGCCCCTCCAGAATGGGTCGCAATGAGTACTTTTGGCCAAGCAGACGTCCTGATTTAACACAAGGGCTGCACTCTCGCATTTACCTCAGCATTTTCTCACGACTGAATGAAATTGGGAAAGCCGCCAAGTCGGTGCTCCAGCTGCGTAATTCTCCAAGCTATTACAGAATAAGCAAGCCTAATGCACCACAGAGACAAGAATATGCTGTGCTTCAGCCTCTGTCACGAGGTCTAAGCGGTGCTTGGCTATACAGCTCATTTCTCGGACGCCTTTGGAACAGCCACCGTGAACGCTAGTTTGCAGCAAGACACTGGCGTTAACGATGGAAGAGCTGTGGTTTTGATTTGTACAGGCACAAGCTGACTGTGAACCAGGCAACCCGCTCGCTTGGGTGATGTCACAGGCTGGAATAATTGATTGGTGCGGCCCAGCTTCCTCTGATGACCCAGACCCCGGGTTTGGTTTGTCGCAAGAAACAGATAAACTGTCTGCGTGCGTGGGCACCGCTCATAGGTGACTGCCCTCAATGTGGCTGCTCTGGCATACAGATGTGTGTGTATGTACCGGCCTTGGAAACACTGCATTTTAACTTACCCAGGTGTTGGTTTGGTTTGGTTTGTTTTTTGTTTTTTTTTTATTTTATTTTCGCCTGTTTCTGTGATGTGGGAAATGGAGTGCTGGATTGCCTTAAAACTCACCGCTGCATTGCCACTAGTTATGACGTGATAAAGTTGCAGTCCAAGTCATTAAGGGAAAAAACATCACTTTTCAATTTGATTGCCATTTATTATTCACTACAGAGAATCACTCATGCTCGAATACCAGGGAATCGCATGTGGGGGAAACAGTAAATATACAGACCAATGGAAGAAACACATTTTCAACTGAGTTATAACTTGGCATTAACGTGAATTGCACCATGTTTCAGCCCAAAGGTGTCTTCTTTTGCTTTTCGGACATGCTGTTAATTCCAGCTTCCCCATAAAGAGAACGACATTTCCACTTATGCGCAGAGCAGCACAATTTAAAATTAAGTAATTTCAATTTTCTCCTTTCATTTTTTATTAGTACTTTAACTGAATGAAGCGCAATTACAAAGGTAAACAGGCATATACTGCCTCTTCCAGATCTACACTAGCACCACTAGCTCTTGTCCCTCTATAGCAGCTACTCAGTAT